TCTCACGGAGGACAAACTTCTAGCAAGAGAATCAGCCTCTTTTTCTTAGACGCAGAAGTAGGACAGGAATGACCAAAGGAGTGGCTGCTCTTAGCAGGAGGCGAGGGAGAGAGAGGAATGATTAAAAGGAAAACTGACCGAGCCCGTGAACCTGGGGCTGTGAGTGCAGGGCAGATGGCTGCAGTCACGTCAACGGGGTTTCACCTGGGGTGTAGTTAATGCCTTCCAAGTCCCAGGAAAACGCTGCATTGTGCAGAGTTGACCACTTCTTGGCAGAGCCACTGAAGCTCCCCGAGCCTCAGCGTCTTCATCTGTGGGGCGGAGACAGTAATCTGGCCCCCCACGGACTGCTGGCAAGACTCAGCAAGCTCCCGATGGTAAAAGCACTCGGTCAACAGTAGCCAAGGTGAGTTACCACGTCTGGTATGCTTTGCTGAAGAACACTGGGAAGTAGGCAATACATTTCTGGATATTTTCCAACCACATGGCAGGAATAATATTAAAAAAAAAAACAAGCTGCGGTACTTCAAGGGGCAAATTTCATTCTCTAGAAACTTCTCCTGTAGTGCCCTCAGGAAGCTGATTCATCGGGAGGCACGACTAACTGTGCCAGTCTCTTGGCCTCTTTACCAAAGGACCCACCCAGTTTACCTTCTGCGTCAAGGCTATCTGTGATCTCAACAGACATGTCTAATGAGATGGAGGACAGACAGAGTGGGACACGGGGCACAGACGCCGAAATCCACAAGTCTCTAATTGAAAAATAAACAGAAAGGCCAGTTGGTCTCTGGGGACAAGCTGCTAAGAAACGGAAGCTCCTGCCTTCAGCCCAGCCCTGGGAGAGGTTATTTCCACTTCAAGCCACATACCCTCGGGGGGGGGGGGGTGGATACCAATGGGCAGCTTGCAGGATCTCTCATAGAAAAGTTAGCTGGTGCAATCAACATCACCACTGCCATTACTTTAATTCTCACTGGCTATGTACCTACCACAAAACAGGGGACACCGACACGGGCAAGCTCCTGCCCACAGGGAGATCGTGACCGACAGAGGGGAGGTGCCCTGTGAGACGAGAACAACAGGGCAATGGACTTAATCCCCATCAAGCATTCACTGTGTGCCACACGCAGGGCTGAGACCTTTACGTGCATTATCTCATTTCACCCTCACAACAATCCTGTTCTTATCATCTCCACTCTCAGATGTGAAACTGAGGTCCAGAGACGTTAAGGCATTTACCCAAGGTCACCAGCTAGCAAGTGGTGGAGCTGGAATTCAAACTCAAGCCTTGACCCCAGAGGTCATGCCTGCCACCTCGTGACCTGCACAAGAGGCGGGTACGGGGCGAGTGCCAGGTGGGAACGCCAGAGTGGGAGATGGGGCTTCGGGGTACACAATGGGCTTTGGAATCAGCCAAACTGGGGTTCTAACGCTGCTCTGCCAATCATTAACTTGGGGGGCTCTGAAGTTCAATTGTTTTTTACAACTACACTGTAAGGAGGAGAATGATGAAGATCAGAAGAGCTGGCCTGGTCAAGTCCACAGTGCCATCTTCGGTATGTTCCACTGGACTGAAAGGGGTCAGAGAAAGCTCAGGAGGGTGTCGGGGCGGGGCGGCGGGCATGGTCAGGGAAGGCTTTAAGAAAGCGGTGATTTTTAAGAAGAGTCTCGAAGGGTCAGTGAATTTGGATTAACTTCAAGAAGGGACCAAGGTCAGGCAGGCAGGCGTGAAGACCCTGAAGATGAAAAAGCTGAGGGTGCATTTGAGGAACAAGCTGGCTGGAGCTCAGGATGAGTGCTGGGGAGCAGAGAGACCCAGGGCTGGAAAGGAGGTGAGTCCACATGTAAACCCACAGGGCAGTGATCCATGGCCATGTTTACTGAGAGTCCACTTTGTATGTGCGTCAGAGACCCGGCATTACAGGATTCATCCTTTAAAGACATCCTCTTCAAAGGAGGCAAGACAAAGGCACAGAGTCAGCCTTCTCTTTAACAAGCAGGCGGAAGAGCAACTGGCTGGCCGGCCTCCTCTGTTTCCCTTCCCTGCAGCCTCCCCCCAGAGCTGTGCTTTCCACGGCCCCTGGGAGCAAAAGGCACAGGCCACTAACGATGAAACAGACCCCGGGATTAGCACACACGGGGACACATCCACGCCCACAGACACACTCACTCACACACACACAAACAGGGTGAGAAGCCAATTTGATTTTCCAAAAGATTGCATAATCCCGAGGTGATATTAAAATAGCTGATGAAGAATCCACTTTCATCTTCTTTTGGGGTGGGCGTTGAAGGGCTGAAGAGCCCGGCTTAGATATTTTCTGACAAAATCATTTACAAGAAACAAGCCGGGAGCACAAAGCTGCAGAACCATCAGCTCCGAAAACCTCCACCTTCTGCACCCTCGTGGGTCCTCAGATGCCTCCCCGCGTGTGCAGGGCGGGTGAGGGGTGACCTGCGCAGGAAGCTGGCCCAGCCCTGGCCCCTCTCCAGCGGCTCCCCCAGAGCAGGTGCTTCTTTTCTGAGATGGGAAGAGACACCTCTGCTGAAACAACCCCTCCTTCCCCAGGCCCCCTGAGAACTTCCAGTCCCTGCCAGTCACTTGGCACATAACCATGTCTGGCCAGCACTGCTCTTCCAGCCTGTGGCTCAGACTGTGCTGAGAAGGACCTGATTTGTAACTCCCTATGGCTGCGCGACTTGTCTGCTCAGCCAAGTGTGAACACCGTGCCGGAGGGTCGGGGCCGAGCTCCACTAGAGCCCTGGGTCCACATATCTGAGCTAGCCAAGGTAGCAAATGTATCGCCATCAGGCTACGAAATGAATCTGAATTCCTTCTTCTGATGATACACGGCTCTTGGATGTCTCTTAACATGATCTTCTAATAATCTGTGTGAAAGCGTTAGTGGCTCAGTTGTGTCCAACTCCTTGCAACCCCATGGCTTGTAACCCACCAGGTTCCCCCGTCCATGGAATTCCTCAGGCAAGAATACTGGAGTGGGTTGCCATGCCCTCCTCCAGGGGATCTTCCCAACCCCGGGATCGAACCCAGGTCACCTGCATTGTGAACTGATTATCGTCTGAGCCACCAAGTCCTCAGATGATACAGTCGCTAGTCATTCCTTTGCGAATTTCAAGAGTCTAGAACAGGGCCTGGCAGACCAAAGAGTCCAGGGAGGACTCCTTCTGAGGCTCCCTTAGTTCCATCTTGGAAGAAAACCTTCATCTATTAAGTTGGGATTTGAGGTGGGCATAAGGCAAAGGAAGGGGATGAAGGAGACTGGAGAAGAATGTTCCAGGCAGAGGAGACAGCAGGAACGAAGGTCTGGAGTGTGAGAAGGCTGCGGAAGGGCAGGGCCCTGTGGACAGGGGCAGGCTTCAGGGCAGCCCTGGAGCAGCCACTGGTCTTAGAATCAGAGGACGGGTCCCCTCCCATTGCAACCGGAGGGAGAGAGAAAAGCAAGTAGACAGAAGTAGGCGAGTCTGTAGGTCTGAGGGCAGAAAGCTGAGGAAGCTTCCATCTGACGGCTTCTATTTTCTCTCTGAAGAGAGAGAAAGGTTATCTTCTGAGCAGGAGGAGGAATGGGGAAAGGTGAGAGATTCCAGGAGAGAGGACAAGGTTTGAAACAGCCAGTGAGAAGACAGGAGTCAAAACCAAGCTGGGGGAGATGGGAAGGATTTCTGTGTCAAGGCTGAGGGTCCAGTTGAGGCTGGAGACCGCATATGTCCATGACATCACCGCCTGTCAGGATTTCTTCAGGATCGTGCTGTGGGTGGACTGGCTGGGATTTCATCCGGTGGGAATGATGGCAAGATAGCAGGTCAGGGCTTGAGAGGGAACAGCTGAGGCAAGGGAGCTTGGATTCGACGGGGTAGGGAAGATGCAGGTTGATGGGGAGAAAGAAGAAAAGGCCATGAACCAGCCTCTGGAAGGCGTTGGAAGACAAGTATGGTAGAAGTGGCTGGAGTTAACCAAAGCGGAAGGAGTGGTCAGAGGGTCAGACGGCTGCAGATGCAGTTACAGGAGGGTTTTGGATGTGGCCTGGGAGTGGGAGGCCGATGGGGAAAGGAGGAGGTCAAGAGGCAAGTGTTGACAGGGCGGCGCTGAGATAAGGCACATACATCAGGCAGACAAGCGGTACCAGACCTAAACAGATGCCCCTACAACAGCCGCTGGGATTCCCGGGCTCACCAGAATCAGCCAGTTCAGCAGCTTCATCTGAAAACCCAGGAAACTGAGGAGGGTCAGGGCCAGAGCCACTGCTCACAAAAAGGGTTTGAGGCAGGCAGGAGGCGGCCCCCAGCCCCAGACCAAGGCTCCCCTCCCCTGGGGTCCTCTCCCCGCAGGGGATGAGCAGCCAGGCAAGCGAGGCAGGCAGGAGAGGCGGCATGGGAGGCCGGCCCGGGTCCCAACCCCAGGGCTCCCGGGGACACCCCCCCACCCCCACCGCGCCCAGCCCCTCCCCGCCCCCTCGGGCCGTTCCGGTCAGACCGGAAGCACGTGGCCGCCCACCCGCGTGGTTGCCCGGGAGACCCAGGCTGTTTACCCGCGGGCTGGGCCCTGCCACCGACTGCAGATGGAGCCGCGCGGGGAGGTGAGCGCGGCCGGCGGGGCCCCGGGGTCTGTCTTCCGCCTCCCCAGGGGCCTGGAGGGGCCAGACTCGAGCCCCAGCGGGCTCGTCCGTCCTCCCCAGAGCAGGGCCCAGGGGCGAACCGCAGGAAACAGGCCAGGGTTCCCGGAGGGAAGGGGCTGCTCCCCAGGGGCAAAGCCAGCCCGGCTGGCCAGAGCTCACCGTTGCCGCAGCGGGACGGTTCCCGGGCTCTGTTGAAGCCGAGGGGCCTTGGAAACCGAAAGCGCTGGGCCATGTCCTCGTGGGTGGGCAGTACAGCCCGGACGCTGACTGCGAGGGGCAGGCGGACGTCCTGTGACACGGGCAGAGGCCGGAACCGGCTCTGAGCCTCCCCCAGACCAGTGCTCTTTCACCCAGGTCAACTGGCGCTTTCTAGAGGCTCTTTCTTGCCCCTCCTCCCACATCGCTCCTGCTGCCTGAGCTTGCTTCCTTCTGGAGCTGCCTGTACTTGGGAAAGAATTGAGCTGTTCCCCTCCACCGACCCCCGCTCCCTGCCCCTCACTGCTATTGGAATCATCCCCAGTTCCTTTTCCAAACCTTTGATCGCTTGGTGGCCTTGTGGCCCCGTTTTCCACTACCCCCTTTTGAACGGGGCAGTCTGCACACGACAGTGTATTCTAATCATTAGTCCAGGCAGAACTGGGAATGGTACCAAAGTGTTCTCATTTTCAGGCCAACTGTCCTCTCCTGATTCTTCTGAGTGTTTTCATCCTGAAAGCCTCACAAGGAGGGGTGGGGATTGGCAGGGGAGAGTATCAACTGATAAACATTTTTAGAAGACCAATTCAAAACAAATGTATGTATCCTTGGCATATACCAGCAGATGGTGTGTGGGTGGTTATATTTTATTGCATTTATCGTAGGCTTAGATTTGGGTTGTGAGTGATATAGGGTGGTCCCCCCGCTGGGGGGAGGTCGGAGCCTTTGGGAAGCAGGAATATGACTTTAGGTTCTCTGGTCAAAATTCTCCTTCTTTCCAGCCTCCTTGGGAATTAATCCTAAGAAATGGGCACCTGTCCTTTAGGCGGTTCCTTGGGAACAGTTATCAGTGTTTGTTTTCTGACTCTAGCAGGCCTCTGGGTACAGCTATTATGTTTAAGTAAACAGGCCACTTGCCTATTCAGCTGGCAGCTTGACGGAAGCCCACGCCTAGATCCTGTCAGAAATCACTCTGTGGTTGAGAGCGTGCCGGGCCCAGAGGTGCTGAGCTGAGCTGAGCAGGGCCGACGACGGCGGTGGCAGAAGCCTCCCAGGTAGAGTGTGAGACCCACGGCGAGAATCTAAAGGCACCGCGGCCCAGTCCCCAGACACCTGTTTCCCCACCTCCCCTGTCTGTGCGGCAGAAGCTGAGGAGAGCTGGTGTTCCGTCCACGTAGCAGATGGTCCCTGCGCTCGCGAGGAGGCAGGGGGTTATGAAAGCAGGTTCGATGGAACGCTTTTACCTGAAGGAGGTGTTAATCTCTAAATAACCATGAGTGGGCTTAGAGGAGTTAGTCATAATTGAGGATTTTTTTCCCTCTGAGATAGCTCAAAGTCATGTTATCTTATGACCAGGGTGTCTTGACTATGACACCCCCTGAACATGGATAATTATATAGCACCAAAAGGTATAGAAAGTGCATGCACACAGTCAAGTTTTACAGTTAAAAATAATCCAGCAGAGAGCCTGTGAGAACACATGACTTTCCTCGTCAAAGTTGTTAAGGAAGAGGTTTCTAAGTTACCAAACTTACTGACAGTTAAACCTTCCCCAGGCATGTGTGGGAGTTAGAAGCCAAGTCTGTGATAATTCTGTAGAAGCTGTGGCGAATTAATAGCCCTTCCTGGAGGGGGGTAGGGTGGGCAGAGAGGGGGAGTCGGCTTCCCAGTTGAGCTTCTCTTTGGCAGAACAGTTGGGCAGTTCTGACCTTCCCATGCCGCCGAGTCCAGGTGCGGAGCTGCTTAATTACAAGTGAAAGGCTTTGAAACTGAAGGGGAAAAAACCCCACATTCTTCACAGTTGATCAGAAAATAGATTAAATTAACAAGGAGTTGGGCAGGCTTTTTTTTTTTTTTTTTAATGCTGAGAAGGCTCCCAAACTCCCCAGCAGCCAGATTGAGTGTGAAAGACAAGAAGTGGGAACTTGGGCGTGTGGAAAGGCTAAGGCTGTGAGCACAGTGGAGTACACACAAGGGCCTTGCAGCTGAGGCAGAGCAGACTTTGAGCTGAGTAGGACTTAACACACAGGGATGTTGCGTGTTTGTTTTCAGTTGTGGTTTTAGTAGCGAGGAAGGCCATACACCCTAAAATGAGTCAGTGGTAGTAATAGGCACAGAATGGGAATATCGGGGTGCAGAACTAAGAGGCTTGAGTTGAATCACTCAGGGTTGTGTGATGAAAGTCGCTTGGAGTAAGTCAGTGAGAGGTAGGTATGTGACTCGAGGGTGGGATTAGGAGGACTTCCTGGTGGCCTGGTGCTTAGAGCACTCTGCTTTCACTGCTGAGAGCCCAGGTTCGATCTGTGGTCAGAGAACTAGGATCCCACACACCTTGTGGGGGGTAGCCACAAATAAATTAAAAAAATGTGGGAGAAGAAGGGACACATTAGAACACTTTTGTGGGGACAGTTTTATAAGCAATAGCTCGTTGGAGTCCACCTTCTGGCATTTCTGAGCAGTGAAGGGGGCAGACATGGGTCCCATGAGTCACCCAGCTAGTCGGAGGTGACTGGGAGTGGACCCACCATGGACACCCTGGAGAAGAACTCTGAGGCAGCTGGTAAGACTTCTGGACCTTAAATAATTGAAAGCCCTAAACAAACAGGAAACCTAAAGCAGAAAAGCCTGAACCTTTACAAGTCTGGTTTTCACGGCCTTACCTACTGTGCTTTATATTACTGGCCTCCTGCTGCAGACAAAGAGGCTGAGGTTTAGCGCTGGTTACATAATGTTTTCATGGCCATGCAGCTACCTGTATAGATGAAGAAAGCAACATGCCAGAAATGTCAACAGCTCGCGAAGACGCAGCACGTGATCGGTGGTGGGGGAGAGGCCAAGCCTGGTCCTTGAGGATTGGGTGTTACGGACCTGGGTTCTGTTCTCAGGCTGGCTTGATGGCCTTGGGGTGTCACTCTTCCTTTCTGGGTTTTTTGAAAAATATTTATTTATTTATCTGGCTGTGTCTGGTGTCAGTTGCATCACACGGGATCTTTGATGCGCTGCACGGACTCTGGTTGCAGCGTGCGGGCTTAGTTGCTCCATGGCACGTGGGATCTTAGTTCCCGAAGCAGGGATGAAACCCACGTCCCCTGCGTGGCGCAGGGGATTCATAATCACTGGACCACCAGGGAGGGTCCCCACACCACCATTTCCGTGTGGCTCACGAGCTAACAGGGCTTCCCTGGTGGATCCAACGGTAAAAAATCTGCCTGCAACGTGGGAGACCTGAGTTTGTTCTGGGTCGAGAAGGTCCCCTGGAGGAGGGCATGGCAACCCACTCCAGTGTTCTCGTCCGGAGAATCCCCCCAGACGGAGGAGCACACCAGGCCGCAGTCCATGGGGACACACAAGACTCGGACATGACTGACGACTCAGCACAGCACTGCACGAGCTAACGACCGCGTTTGATGGTTGAGAAAAATAAAGGGAAGACTCTTTCGTGCCGCATGAAAATGACGAACTGCAAACGCCAGTGTCCATAAAGGCAGTTTTCTTGGAGCAAAGCCACACCCGTTCATTTCCACACTGTTGATGGCGGCTTTCACACCACTCGGGCAGAGATGAGGAGCTGCGACAGACGGTGGCCCACAGAGCCGAAAATATTTACTCTCCGGCCATTTATGGAAAGGGACTGCCGACCCCAGTCTGGAAGCCGAGTCCCCTGAGTGCTGGCCAGTGAGTGGATCAGCAGGGGGGTCTCCTCTCCTCCCCTGGCCCGGTGACTGGGGGCCGCAGAGGGTCAGTGCATGAAGTGACGTGCGCAGAGCCACACAGCAGGGTTGAATGAAAAGAAGCTCTGGGAGATGGGAAAAGAGGGAGGAAAGATGGAGGAAAACCACGTGGCAGAGGGGCTCTTGCCCAGTGAGGACTGGGCCCCTCCTCTGTAAGGAGTGCTAGCCGCTTGTGGGTCTAGCTTTCAGCTCTTAAGTGAAGCTGAGCGTGGCTTCCCAGCTGGGCAACCAAACCGGGTTCCTTGCCCTCTTTGGAAAAAGGAGCCCCTGTGGCTCAGACGGTCAAGAATCCACCTGCAGTGCGGGAGGCCCGGGCTCCATCCCTGGGTCAGGAAGACCCCCTGGAGAAGGGCATGGCAACCTACTCCGGTATTCTTGCCTGGAGAATCCCATGGACAGAGGAGCCTGGTGGGCTACAGTCCATGGGATTGGAGAGTCAGACATGACTGAGCGACTAAGCATTCCTACCTCGTAGGCAGTCTCCTTCATCCCCACCGGATTCTTTACCATTGAGGTACCACGGAAGCCCAGTCGCTGGTGCAGTACTTTTATTTTCCTCATAGCAGTTGTTACTCTTTCAAAAGATCTATTTGATGTGGGTTTAACACCAGTCTCTTCTCGCTATAATATTTTGAGTTGCAGGGACTTGGGTTCACTGATAAATTACAATGCCTGAAGTGAATGAATGAATGAATGAATGAACTGCAGCTTCTAGACAGAGCTGCTCTGTACCACCCCTCCCCCCGCCCCCACTGTGACTGGTCCTTATTCTGGCCTCTGGGGAGTGAACGGCTCAGGTCCAGAAGTCCCAGAACGTTTAACCCATGGCCTCCTCTTTTCTCCTGCTTCCTTAGGGGTGTTGAGCAGCCATGGCCACCGAAGCCCCTGTGAATTTAGCCCCCCCTGAACGCAGTCCTGGTGGAAGCACAGCGACTGACAGCTTCCTTTGGCAGCCAGACTCACTAAACATGCATGTCACGAGGCCCAAGTCCGCCAAGGGGCGTACTCGGCCAAGACTGCACAAGCGCCTGGGCATGGAGGGGTGCTCTGGCCGCACACCACCTTCTCTGCCTCCGGCCATTCCCTGCGAGTCGCCGAGCAACCAGAAACCGGGAGCCTGCACCCCCAAATCTCCAGATCAGGGAGCCTACAGTGAGATCCCAGAGCTGCTGCAGCAGGTACCCTTTGGGGCATCCTCTTCCCTCAATAAATACCCAGTCCTCCCTTCCATCAACAGGAAGACCCTGGAGGAGGGCGCCCTGGAGACAGTCGCTAAGAAAGCCGGCTCCCTGCAGCTTAGCAGCGCCCAGGCTCTTTCCCAGGAGGAGACCTGCACCACGAAGATGGGTGAAAAAGATCCCCAGGCTCAAGCCTGTTCCCCAGAGAGGAGAGTCCTCGTGCGGACCGAGAGACAGACCTCCTCCAGGGCTGGAGACCTGGAAGAGCCATCAGATCAAGAGCCCAGACTGCTGCTCGCCATCCGCTCACCCTCAGGCCGAAGGTTCGTCCGCCACTTCCGGCCAACTGATGCCTTGCAGACCGTTGTGGCCGTGGCCGAGCACAAGAACAAGGCCACCTACCGACCCTGCAGCGTCGAAACGATGGAGGTGCCCAGGAGACATTTCTCTGACCTCAGCAAGTCTCTGCAGGACTGTGGAATCCCCAACAAGTCGGTGCTGGGCATCTCCCAGGAAGAGGGGGCAGGCTGGTCCTGAGTCCGCAGCCATCGAACTGGGGTCGTGGGTGTCTCAGCGAGGAGCGTGCATGGGTGCCACGGCCTCCTCGGCAGCTTGCTTCCAAGTGCCATGTGGACCTGGTGCATCTGTGGCTCTTGGGATGCCCGCCTTCCAAGCATCTTCTTCAGAGCCGTGAAATCTACACACGCGCCAAATGTGTTAAGAAGATTTTCTTCCCGTTGTTCAATTCTCTCCATTGCTGGAGTGAACTGGCAAGTGACCAAGGCTGTTCCCCGAAGAGCTGTTCCCAGGCCTCCTTTGCTGCCCAGCTCCTTCCTGGAGCACCTGCTTGCCTTTACAATGAACTTGCACTCGTTTGAAGCCAGTGGTTCACCTTTCTGTATTTGATGCAGGATTAAACACTTCCCAGAGAGGATTCTGGTCTGTTAAATAACCAGGGTTGAGGAAGTACTGCACTGGCATTTGTGTTTCTTGCAAGCATCTTTAAGAAGCAGGCAATTGACGCTGTTTGGGCAGCAGCCCCTCTGCCAGTCTCGAGTTCTTGGGGATTACCATTCGTTGAGGTGGTTTCAGAGGAAAGAACAGGTCTTTAGCTAATACAGATCCCCCAAGACATCAACATTTCCGAGAGAGTCCAAGAGCTGGAAAATAAATCCCTTCCATAAACAGCGAGTAGCCAAGAGCCTCTTTATATTTTTAACAGAGTCTGACCAGGTTTACAATTTTTGGTAGCTGCTCTCTGTGCACAAAATTTCCCCCAAACTGAGAAAAGCCAGCAGAATCTGACATCATTAGCTTTTGTCAGTGGTGGTATCTTTTGGTTGTTTTTTTTTTTTTCCATTTATTTTTATTAGTTGGAGGCTAATTACTTTACATCATTGCAGTAGTTTTTGTCATACATTGAAATGAATTAGCCATGGATTTACATGTATTCCCCATCCCGGTCCCTCCTCCCACCTCCCTCTCCACCCGATCCCTCTGGGTCTTCCCAGTGCACCAGGCCCGAGCACTTGTCTCACACACCCAACCTGGGCTGGTGATCTGTTTCACCCTAGATAATATACATGTTTCGATGCTGTTCTCTTGAAACATCCCACCCTCGCCTTCTCCCAGAGTCCACAAGTCTGTTCTATACATCCGAGTCTCTTTTTCTGTTTTGCATATAGGGTTATCGTTACCATCTTTCTAAATTCCGTATATATGTGTTAGTATACTGTAATGGTTTTGTTTTTAAATGACACAAAAGCCCACAAGTCTGCACAAGTTTGTAGGAAAGGCCCCCTTGGCTGATCTGGGTGTGGGCATGCTGTTTTATCCCCCAGTTTCAGGGTCTTCCAACTTCCAGCACAGAGGCGCCCTGGAGATGACACAGGTGCCGCGTTCTCTGATTTAGAATCTCCTGGAGGAGGAGGGCGCCTGGGTTTGGTGTCGCCCTGCTGCAGCTGTGCTGAGACCACGTGCCCGAGTAAATGTCTGGTCAGTCAGCATGATGCCTGCGGCTGTGTGACAGACCCCCGAGCCTTGTTTCTCCAGCTCTGAAGTGCTGACGTGGAAACCTGCCAAAGTTCCCTCGTGTGGTGAGCTCAGCAAGGCTCCCACATCGCATCTGGATCCCCTTTATGGCCAAATCACCATGCAGAGTGGGGAACACTTGTCCTCCCAGAGCCCTGCTGTCAGGAAGCCCTGAGTACTGATAAGCACCCCCACTTGCTAGGTACACAGAGAAGGCAGGACTGCTAGAAGCATGGCAGCAAGTGCATGTCGGGACTTCCCTGGTGGTCCAGCAGCTAAGACTCCAGGCTTCCAATGCAGGGGGTGTGGGTTCGATCCCTGGCCAAGAGACTAAGATCCCACATGCTGCCAAAAAAGCAAAACAAACCAAAAACAGGTGCATCTTGTGCATAGATAAGGCCTGCGGTTGGAAATGTTACTTCTAGCAAATCGATAACAGCCCTGGAGAGTAACGCCAGCATCATTTCTCTGAAGAAGGCTTGCCTTGTCCCAAACCGCATCCCACACCACCCAGATCATTCTAGAATAGGCTATTTTGGAGTGTTTTGCAACATTTCTTAATGCTATTTGGTTAGCCGCTCCTCTGATTGCAAAGGTCAGCCAGGGCAGGCAGTGCCTCGCTCAGGCCCCCGCCACTGGCCACATCCTCCGGCCGCTGACCATGCAGAGGGCCAGGTAACTCATGCCTGGTACTCACAGTCCAGGAGTCTCGCCTCCCACCCGGGACGAGAGCACAGAACTCTGCCTCTGATCTTGGAGGCTGAAGGAAGAGCCTCCCACGAAATCACACCTACTCTGTGGTAAGAATAAAATCCCACCCACCTGGGACTTGGTAATTTCTCCAGGCAGGAAATCTTTAGAAAACTGCAGTGAAATGGAGCATGCTTGAAGGAGTTAGAATGTTGTGCACTTAGAGATTTGCTGCTGCTGTTAGCTTAGAATTTTGGGGTGGTGGGAAAAATGGAAAGCATAAAGCATAGAAATACTTATTTGGGGATCTGTTAATAAAGCCAGATTTGAAACCCCTTAATAAGCTTTGTGTGTGTGTGTGTGTTGGAGGGGACAAAAGATGATAATACTAACAAGGTCGATTTACGTGAAAATGAGTCAGTAGAGAAGTCATCTTATTTCAGCCCAAGACTTCAGCCACCACACTTGGCCCATGGACAGCAGCTGCGTGGACCCGGTCTGCAGTTTTCTCCTTGGCAAAGCACTTGGCTCTGCTGTGAGTTCCAAGTCTTCTTTCCCAGGCACTCCAGATGTCTGCCCTTCCCAAAGCTGCTAATCTCAGCTCATACCAGAGCATTGTGGTGGTTTAGTCACTAAATCGTGTCCAACTCTTTGCGACCCCATGAACTGTAGCCCACAGCTCCTCTGTCCGTGGGATTTCCCAGGCTAGAATAATGGAGTCAGTTGCCATTTCCTTCTTCAGGGGCTTTTCCCAGCCCAGGGATCAAACCTGATCTCCTGCATTGCAGGGGGTCTCTTGCATTGCAGGCAGATTCTTTACCAGCTGCGCCAGCAGGGAAGCCTGTCAAAGCATTAAGCTTGTTTGTATGGAAAGAGACTTCTGAATTTCTCCCCCAGATCATTCCACATACTCTCCTTTTGAGATTGGCAAGAACAGACTGTATCAGAATTTCAGAGTTCTTGGCTCTGTAGGTGGTACTGCCCATCAGGTGCCCTGGCCCCATGGGCTAAGCCGACCCCAGGACCCAACTCTTGGTGGCCCTAGTAGGTCTGAAGGTGGCCCCTCTGCAGCAGACCTGACTTATTGTTTAACCAACAGTAACCCAGGGCTTTCCCTGTGCCACGCTTGCTGGCCAATGATGGCACCCTAGCATGATGGCGTTGGCACCCTAGCATGATGGCGTTGGCAAGAAAATGTGGAAGCACCTTAGACTGTGGACTCCAGCCAGCTGAAGGTGACGGCTGTTGCTCTATCTGGGAAGGCTCGAGTGAGGGCCAGGATGGATGGCGTCTGGTCTTCTCTCCATCTTGTGGAAACTCAGGGGAGGCTCCTCCCCACCTCTTCTAGCACTGGCCCTGGGATGATCACTCGTCAGGGACCTGAACTTTGCACAGGACAAAGTATTTCATGCCAAGCCACTCTAGCGCATCCCCTGATAAAAGTCCAGTAGGTAAATTCAACCTGGCAACAGAAGGAACAGCAGGAGAAAGAAGTGACTCATCTCGTAGAATCCAAAAAATTTTCACCAACAGATGGCAGGTTCTAACACTGCAGTTCCTGCCCTGAAAGCACCCAGGGACCCAGCCCACAGCCGCGAATCCAGGGCAACCCTGCTGAAGAGGCAAGGTAAGCGTGACCGTGGGCTGGCAGTCACCCTGAGTGCCCCACAAACAAACAGACAAAACAACCAATACGATAAGGCTTGAGGCTTCTATTCCAGTGCGGAACTTCCAGGACTAGTGACGGATCACTCTCACTATCAGGCATGACAACAGCAAGGCCTCCCACACACTAGACTTTGCTTTTGTTCACACTCTACAAGCATTTGAAACCTTTTGTCTGATGGCAAAGAAAGCCACCTTGCCCCAAGAAGCAAAAAAATTTCTCTTTACACATTTTTTAACTAAGGGCTTCATCATAAGTTGAGATAAAAGCGTGCACAGTTCCCTGTGGTTCAGGGTATGCTTTAGATGAGCCTTTTATATAGTCAGTGGATCTACTTTTATGCCTCTTAAACAGAATTGCAAAGAAAACTAGATCACTTTGCTTCAGCGTTAGTTTGGAAATCATTCCGAGAATAACACAGGCATATCTGTTTTCTTAGTCCCATCAAGGCAACACCCCACAATAAAGTTAAGACTTTGAGCATGTTTACCCTTGCCCTGAAACCAGAACCAACCAAACTCCACCATAGAAGCCGGGGTGGGGGGTGGGGGCCGGCAGGGGCCCACTGTGGACGAGTTAGCCATGTAAGAGGAGCAGACCCTTGGTGACTCACTCATCAACACACAAGACAGTCACTCACATTACAACACGAAACTGGGTGTTTTATTTTGTGTCTACACTGGCGATGCCACGTTTTCCTTTCCTAATGAGGGCAGTTTCCACCAGCCCTGGCTGACATCCCTCCGCGTGCCCCTGTCTTCAAACGCTTGAGGAGACAGCAGCCACCCTGAACAGCTGATGCCCAAGCCCAGGTCCCTGGAAGTATTTTTGGACACACTTAGATCTCATCTCAAGAAGATGAGCAGCTGATATGACAGCTTCGAATAGGTTCAATGAAGCGAGCCTCAGTCCCACGGTCCTGTGGAGCTGAGCAGACTGTAGGGGTCGGGGTGGAAGATGAGAGACCTACTCCTGGACGTTGTTAGTAATCAGGGGCGAGATGGTGGTGGCTTGGGCCAGGATGGTAGTCATAGACTTGATGAGAGATGGTCGGATTCTGGATACATAATCCATTTTCTTAATAGACAAGGTAATTTGACAAGTTGGGATTTACCCGAGTGGACTTTGTTATTGTTCAGTCGCTCAGTCCTGTCCGATTCCTTGCAACCCCATGGACTGCGGCACACCAGGCTTCCCTGTCCTTCACTATCTCCCAGAGTTTACTCAAACTCAGGTCCATTGAGTCAGTGATACCATCCAACCATCTCAGCCTCTGTCATCCCCTTCTCCTCCTGCCCTCAATCTTTCCCAACATCAGGGTCATTTCTAATTAGTTGGCTTTTTGCATCAGGTGACCAAAGTATTGGAATTTCAACTTCAGCATCAGTCCTTCCAATGAATATTCAAAACTGATTTCCTTTAGGATTGACTGGTTTGATCTCCTTGCAGTCCAAGGGACTTTCAAGAGTCTTCTCCAACACCACAGTTCAAAAGCATCAGTTCTTTGGTACTCAGCCTTCTTTATGGTCCAAGTCTCACATCCACACATGACTACTGGAAAAACCATAGCTTTGACTAAATGGACCTTTGTTGGCAAAGTAATGTCTCTGCCTTTTAATATACTGTCTAGGTTGGTCATAGCTTTTCTTTCAAGGAGCAAGTGTCTTTTAATTGCATGGCTACAGTCACCATCTGCAGTAATTTTGGAGCCCAAGAAAACAAAGTCTGTCACTGTCTCCATTGTTTCCCCATCTGTTTCCATGACGTGATGGGACCGGATGCCATGATCCTCGTTTTTTGAATGGTCTGCCTGCAGCTGGTTGGGCACTCCTGTTAACAGTGGGCTGGGGCTGGAGCAGACCCAGGATGTCTGTCGGTGGCACCCACCAGCCAGAGCAGATATACGGTCCCACCTCTCTGCTAGAGGGTGGATGTCAGAGAGGCACAGCTATCAGCTGGCCCAAGGCCCTATGGCTC